ATAAGAAGAAGAAAAAACTATTCCAAGCTTTGATGAATCCACCAGTTGTATCTTCACATGCATCATCCTGTGGCTTCTCACCAAGGCAGCTTTAGTACTCCCCAGCAAACTGAAAAAAGAAACAGATACATAAAAGAACCTCTTAGTTTTACAATGATCAAAAGATAGCAAGCTAATGATCAATATCCATATGTAGATGTTTCAGATAATCGTAATACAAACCAAAACAAAAGATCCACTCATTAAACTGAAAATAAAAGTGACATTGGCTGCCAGCATAAAGAAGGAATACTGATGGCCAAAAAAATTAGCTAATAAATAAGAGTACCCGTCACTACATATTAGGATACGCCCAAAAGAGATTTAACTCAACATTTAAGTTAGATGATGCATCACCTGTATCCAACAAGTAGAAAAAAAAATCTCATGCACTAGAATTCATAGAAACAAAAATAGAATAATGTTGGATAACAAAAATCATAAAGTTCATGCCAGTGATAACATGAGCAAATTTTTGCCTTTGAGGTAATGTAGCATTTTTGGTCTTTCTTTGACCACGCTTTTCGAGGGAGCTCTTTATTCTTTTGTTTGTCCCCCTTTCATTTGCACTCGTGGGAGATTCTTGACAACCTTCTTGCTAACAGATGCACAAATTTGTTCACTTTCAACAAAACCGATACCAACGCGGTTACTATGGCTCAACTTCTCCTTATAGCTTTTTAGTTTCTCATATGCTTGATCAATTAGTTCTTCAAAAATTTGAATAGCCTTCACATCAAATGTAGCCAAATCCATAACGTTGCTTGTTTTGTGCATAAGCTTACTAAAAACAATTGTTTTTGACTCCTTCATATCACCTTTAACTGATAAAATACTTTGGTCACGAATATGAATGTCTTTTGCATTCTTTGTCCACCTTTTCAAAATGTACTTTTCAGGAATTTTGCTGTCATTGTTAGTCACATTTAATATCCTCAAACTATGACAACAAAATAAACCCAAAACCTCAAACTTCTTGCAACTACAAGTAATATCAAACTTTGAAGTATCAAACAAAACAACGTGTACCTTTGATGAGTTCTCTTTCTTCAACTTATAGCAATCAACTATGCCATCACGAGCATATTCAATGATTTTTCCCCGACACCTTTGAAAAATTCATCTTGAAACATGCCGAACAATTTTCAAGTATACACCTCAGCTGCATGCATCAAGATTCCACTAGGTATGCGAACATGAGGTCTTCCATACACACCACGAAAATCTTCAGTTTTCTCAGCCTCATGCATTTTTTCTGTATTTTTCTCGTAATGCTTAAAGAACTCAATTAAAGTCAAACTCATAAAAGACATGGTTTGAAAGACATTGTTAGTACTTTCGCTTCTCTGGGTGGACTTCATATTTGTAGAAAAGAGATCATGACTAAACACAGAAGAACACTTTCTATGAACTTCATAAAGCTTTTGAAGCTAGCTATTCTCTTGTAAACCCCACTCTTCAATCATTTTTCTCCAATCATGCTCAAACTCCTCCTCAGTGTCATAACCATTAAACAAATTGTGAAATTTCTTTTTAAACTCATACTTACCATAAAGATGCGGAATATTGTTGGCAGCATTTTTATATATGTGCCAAGAGCATAGCCGATGACATGAGTTAGGGAAAACATGTTTAATAGCATTAGCCATAGCAGCATCTTGGTCTATGAAAATAATTTGCGGCTGCTTGTTTCTCATTGCTTGCTTAAAAGTCTCGAATAACCACACAAAAGAGCCAATAATTTCATCAAGAAGAAAGGCACAACCAAATAATTTATTCTGCCAATGATGATTTAATCCTACAAATGGTGCATAGGGCATATTATACTTGTTTTTCCTGAAAGTAGTATAAAAAAAAATCACAACATCACCAAAACAATCATAATCCTACTTGGACATTGCATCTCTCCAAAATATATTAGTTAGACAATTTTGATCATCAAGTTGTGGTGTATAGAAAAACATGGGGTTGTTAGCTTGCTTAAGCTGAAAATGATTTAAAAGAGCTTGCGCATCTCCAGCTTCAAACAGATTCATCCTTGTTCTATTTACAAAATTCTGAAAATTCCTTTTAGTACCAGCAACATATTGGCATCCACCAAATTCTCCAGCAACAAAATCATGAGCCTTTGCTGGCCCAATGCCTGACATATACAAAGAATCAACTACATCTTTTGTAACTTGCGACATTTTTCTCCAGACCTTAACAAATGTCTTTGCTCTGGCAAAGCAAATTCATGGTTATGATCATCATTGAAACGAACAATTTCCCATATACCATTTTCCACCCTAAATGTCCCAAGAGCCGTACATCTAGTCCTAGTTTCCAACCGATCAACTTTTTTCACTTCTAAGGGATCAGAATCTTGAATACCTTGTTTTGAACAGACAAAAGTTCTTCCATTAATATCTTTAGTTCCATATTTATATCAAATTTGGTCTCGCCGAATACTAAAACCTTTACGTAATGCATATTCGTTATAAAGATCATATGCTTCATTCTCGCTATACATAATCATTCCAAGTTTTAATCGAAGCTCACAGTCAATATCAGTTTTTACTACCACATCTGCGGAGGATACGCTACCAGATGTGTGCAATTGGCCAAGTACCTAGACCTAGTAGAACGGTTTCGGGATGCGTTTGAGGAATGCACCTCTCGCACGTACAATGAGCACTTAACAAAAGGGCGAACACACTCAGCAAGCTGGCCTCCTCCGCGTTCGCTCAACTGACTCAAAGAGTCCTAGTAGACTCCCACAACCAAGCATTGAAGAAGAAATGGTGAATCAGGTTGACATGGCGTCTGAATCCTGGATGACGCCCATAGTACAGTACCTGACTGACGACACTCTACTAGCGGATAAAATTCCGGCCAGAAAAGTGCGACAGCAGGCCCCAAAGTTCTTTTAAAAGATGGTATCCTCTACAAACAAGGGTATCTCCAACCGTGGCTGCGATGCGTCGACCCAGAAGAGTCTCAGCTCTTGATGCAGAATGTACATGAGGGGGCTTGCGGCGCCCATATCGGATTGTGCAACCTGACCAAAAAGATTCTGTGCACAGGCTACTTTTGGCCAACTCTCGCTCAAGATTGTTACAACTATGTGCTCAAGTGTCCGTAGTGCCAACGGCTTGCTCCCATCATCCGAGTGCTGCAGCACAATTTGGTGTCGATCTTTAGCCCATGGCCTTTTCACAAGCGGGGCACAAACATTATGGGTCCTTTTGAAAAGGGGATGGGTCTGGCATGCTAGTTGTTGGTCGCTGTCGATTATTCCATAAAGTTGGTGGAAGCTGAGCCAATTGCATCGCAGATCGGAGCAGTAGTCGCAAAATTTTTCTAGAAGAACCTAGTCTACAGATTTGGCATCCCCCATGCAATTGTTTCTGACAATGGAACCTAGTTCGAGTCGGGGGTTTTCAAAAGGTGGTGTGAAGATTTCGGGATAGAAAGGAAGTTTGCGTCGGTCGCTCATCCACAAGTAAATGGTCACGCAGAGAACGCTAATCGAACCATAATGCAAGGTATCAAGAAGAGGCTACAGGCGCAGGATGCAAGTTGGGTGGAGGCCACACCTCACATACTGTGGGCACAACGTACCACCCCCCAAAAGGCGATGGGCAGGACGCCGTTTTACTTGGTATACGGGTCGGAAGCAGTGATCCCGGCGGAGATAGAGGTGCCATCTTACCGCGCTTTGCACTACCTAGAGAAGGAGAATGAGGATGAACTCCGCGGCGCCTTGGATTTGGTAGAAGAAGTACACGAAGCAGCATACATTCACGATGCAAGGTACAAGCAATAGGTTGCTTCTCATTACAACCGCAAGGTCCACACAAGGGAATTCATGGTCGGCGACCTAGTTCTCAGAAGGAATGGCGCCAGCCACGCTGAGCCTAAGGGCAAGTTAGCACCCACTTGGGAGGGACCCTATCGCGTGATCGCGACCTCCCCTTCTGGAGAGTATAAGTTGCAGACCATGGAGGAGACCCCCCGCACCATTCCCCGATGGTGGAACATTCAACACCTTAAGAAGTACAACTATTAGCCCAAGCGGCACCAGTGGTCCAATTCTTCCTATTTTAGCGTTATGGCTTAGTTACCTTATTCCTGTTTTCTGATTTTCTATCTAAATCTATTTGTAAGATAAATTTGCTAAATTAAGTATACTTTTGTTTCCTAACATTGTATAAATTTTTTAATATACATGCAGCGACCACACATCACAATTCGAAGCCCGGCCATGGGCGACACATGAAAGCGCGAGGCGATCTAACAGGTTATCTCGTTCGGCCAATACATCAACAAGTATAAACCGTGACATCGCGTCGCGTCCCATCACTCGGATGCGGGTGACGCGGTTACAAAAACTTGGGACCCGCTTTGTGTAGTGTCCCGTCCGACCTAACCAAGACATGGGTGGCCGGTCAGTGAAAACCGCGACATCGCATCGCATCCCGTCACCCGGATGCAGGTGACGCCGTCACAAAACTTGGGACCTACTTGCCGTGATGTCCCGTCCGACCTAACCCAGATATGGGCGGCAGATCAGCCCCAAACCACGCCACCGCGTCGCGTCCCGTCACCCGAATGAGGGTTACGCGGTCACAAAAACTCGGGACCTACTTTGCGTAATATCCCGTCCGACCTAACCAAGTCATGGGCGGCCGGTCAAAACAAGCCGCGGCGTCACAAAGCATCCCGCTATCTAGAAACAGGCAATGCAGTCGTAGAACCTAGATACCACTAAATACCCCAAGTAAAAATCACATCCACTGCAACTGCGGTGGTCGCTCCCGACAAGTTGCTCAATCAACAAAAACGGGTAAACTTAACAGTGGAGAAATGGTCAAATACATGCCAATAACGGCAAATACAACTACAGGGGAAAAAGGAAAAAGATAACAAAAAAAAAGGCCTACAACAGGAGGGTGATGCCAGCTACTTGTGGTATATGTTTAAACATCGCACGGTGGCACTTTTGGGATTGGATCCTGGATGATGGCATTCTCCAGGGTACCAAGGAACGGTGGTGGATGGTCAATATTATCAAATGCTGGGAATCTAAGCATGTTGGGATCGACTGTCCCACCTACTTCTACCACGCGATCTGCCAATGTCCTCAGGGACGCTTGTAGGTGCTGAGCAAACACTCTATAGCGAGCCAGGATTTGTGAATCCCTTCGCCAGCGAACAGCGACAGTGGCGTAGACCCTCTTCCAACCTTCCAACAAAGCTTCCAGGTAGGATTGCGGTAGTGTGGCTTCTGCTCGAGTCCAGATGAGCTACCGCCTAGTACGAGGAACCAGTTTCTTCAACTTGCGAACAGTCTCCTCTACCTCTTCAATGCGTTCATCTTGCTGATCCCGTATCTGGATCAAGTCGCGTAGATGCTCTTCCCACAAGTGGTCATTCCTCCAATAGTCAGACTAACAATTCTTCAATACCAAGCGCAACGCTTGAAACTCCACTGCATACATGGATCGCACCAATTCGCGTAGCTCCTTTTCCTTGTCTTCCCGATCCCAATTCCCATTACATGGCGGATTTAAAAGCCCAAACATAATCCGATGGTAAAACACTGAGCTTCCGGATTCAAGACTGGGATACAAATTTTCAACATCAACATCCCGTCCCCCGTTGTTGTCGCGGCATCAGATCCTTTCCCGGCACGAGGTACCCCTGAAGGAATCGACACACCCACGGTCCCCACTTCACCAACAGGAGGGGTGGACTGAACAAACACCACATCAGAAATGAGTGGGGCATCACCACCCCCCAAATTCAGCAAAGCCCCCTCGAGATGAGTGGCATCCTGCGTTGCAGAAGGATCACAACAAATCATATGCCAACACAAGCAAACAAAGGAGAAACACCACACCAACATCAACAATTACTGGGAAAGAAACGTCATTAAAACATAAGGAAAACCTTAAGCTTTCAAAAACACTTGCACCAAAAGAATTCCTAACATAGGAATCCTAGACAAAACATGTAAACAACTACAAGAACAAAGCTACGGTGCTACCCGACCTACTTCCTATACCTCAAAATCAATATCTTCGGCCTTGTCCTCATTGGGGTCGGGGATCTCTGGGGCATCGTCTTGGAAATCTTTCCCTCTATGCGACCCAGGGCTGGATGAGGAGTTGCCGCCTTCAGAACTAGCATTACCAGAAGGATTGCTGGGAGACAGGAGAGGAGTCGCGATCCCAAGAGGCATGTCAAATGCACCAGTCGAGTCGCTACCCATATCCAGAATGTTTTGGGCCGAATCCAAATAAGAGCAAATCTCTCGGATCGTCTTCATCATGGGCAAAGCATCCACATCAATGTCGTGAATGTAGGCACGAGCATCCCTCCACACTTTGGCCACCAGCTGGTCGCGTTCTGCATATCTGTTCTAGTAAGCGGCCAGCTTATCACGCATCAGGGCCGCCTCTTCGGGGTTAGAGACACAATCTTTGAACACTTCAACCAGCAAGTAATGCGCCCCCACATCCCCGGATGTCCCCAGCATATTTCCAACCGCAACAGCAAACTGGTTCGACCCCAAGATCTTGTGTACTGCGGTGCAAATGATATCCCCCTGCATCGCACAAGGAATAGTAGACCTCAACAGCCCCAGGCATTCCTTGTTGGCAACTTCCAGCTCCCCCTTTAGCTGGGCGACCTTCGCTTCCAATGATGCGACAGTCGCCACCCAAATGCGATGTTGCTCTTCAAAGTTCGTATTCATCTTCGCTACCCTCGCACGAAGAGAGGTAGCTTCGGCGGTGGCCTCCTCCATGCACAGAGCCCAGCGAGCCAACCCGGAAATACACTACGATACAAGGTGTTTCGCATCAAAACATTTCATAATATGTAAGGCAACAAGACAAGGATCGCATACAGTACACCCCGCCCATACTTGGAACATGGCATCGCCGCCCTGAGCAGGACTGGCCATAGGCCCCAGTCGCGGGTCCCTGGGTGGGTTAAACCCCACCATAGCCATGTCCTGCGGCGGCACCTGCGTCGCTAGCGATCTAACATCAATCCCACCCTCAGCACCAGTTGACGAAGCCGTGTGGGGCACTACAGACTCAGCAACAACATCCAGAAGGACGGTGTCAGGGCGCGGGGGCATTTGGGAAGCACCACTCCCAGACTTATTCTTCTTGCCGCTTCCCACATGTGACTGGCTAGGCGTTGCCACCGTTTGGCGGTCAGACTTACGCTTTCGTGGTGCCTTCACCTTGGGCACGATCGCAGTTTCAGCAATGTTATCAGCAGACGTCGTTGTAGCATTAGACAAAGGATTACTCTTACTAATTAGTTAAAATCTTAACCTACAAGTGAAAGGAAAATGGGACAACAAGTCATTAACAATTCGAGGAATACCTGCGGCATTCTCATAAATGCTATTGCGATGCAGTTGAATGTCAGTATAAGGCCAAATTTGATTAAAGGAGCAGATCTTCTGGATTTCCTCCTGGCGGGCTTTAAAGGCCTGGTTATCGCTATCACTCCATGGATCAAGCGTGACCCCGGCGTTAGAATCAACATACAATTGGGGAACCACAATCGTCCCCGCGTCGACAAAGAAGAAATACTCCCTCCATTTCTCTCCACGCTTTTCCACTGCAACCAAGGAATGCGACCCTGTCATAGGATTATGCTGAAAACTAAACCACCCCGTATAATTGCGCTCCGATTGCACCATCTTGAAAAAACAGGGGAACAAGAACACATCCGCCTTCACCCCCACAAGCTGGCAAATGTGGAGAAAACCCAAGATAAAAGGGATCACATTCTGCAGCCACTGTGCTAGGGGCATCTCATATGCCCACATCAGCGCTGCCACAAAGGGAAGAAGAGGAAGATTCAACCCCAATTCCAAGTAACAGCGATAAACCGTCATCTTGCCTGGCGGCAGTTGGTGGGCACGATCCCTACGACCGGGTACCATCATCTTCTGGCCTCTTACTTTGAAATTGGTCCTAATTTCCCTTAGGTCATCCATGGTTTCGATGGGTACCTTGCCCACCATGATTAATTTTTGACGGGGAGGCATGACGCAAATCTCTGCAACAAAACAAAAACAAACCCAAGAACAAGGCAAGAAGTTTTGGTACTCACCAGAATAAAAGGACAGGGTTGGAAGAATTTTTGATACCATAAGATAGAGTCTCTCGCCTTTTGAAGAAAATGGGGAACAGAAGAGTCGAAATAGGAATCCTCCCTCAATCCGCCTTTAAATAGGGGGGGAGATAATGGGGGAAGGCTAAGAGACGGGCGCCGAAAAGACGTGCCCCATCAATAGGGGCACTCAGTCCAAACCGGCGATCGAGCCCCATTGTGACTGTTCCTGCCGAAAGGCGGGAAGCCACCTAAACCGTCGGATGATGGGGCATCCCGCGTCCCGCCCTGAAGTCCAAACCAAGCAGGTCTAGACCTAATTAACCCAGCTGAGTTTATTAAAAGGCCAAGCACATGCTACCTCCTTGTAGCTTAGCCCTTCAGTAGGGGCAATTGATGGGGTAATTAGGCTATTGCCTTATTAGGCCTTAATTAAATTGGTCCAGGTATCAAATAATATCCACTAAGATCCATATGCACCCATGTACAAGGGAATTTCTTATATTCCCTTTTTGGGTCTATAAAAGGAGCACCCCAAGGCATTTATTTCTCATGTTATTCTTTTTATATATACATCATTTAATAGTCTCTCGTTCTCTCTCTAAGAGTTCAAACTTAATCATTGGAATATTAAGCCTATTTTGCAGGGCATTTTGAGGATTATTAGCACTCATTCGTGGACCACCTCAGGAACGCTCCAACATCCAAAAATGTCATTTGGATGTCTCAGTCTCACTCCCTGGAAATGCATTCGTTTGACATTTAGGTTTTGTGAAGAAAAGGACGTTATAACATCAATCTTCAGTCAAATCCAAAGACAATCACCAAACCTCCAACTTCTGGTCCAATTTTTTTTTTTTTTTTCCTGAACACTCGAAACTAAATTTCCTATCAATGTGTGCAGTACATATTATAGTGGGTATTATATACTTAATTCAAAATCGCTGAACTTCCCTTTTAAACATTTTCGCTAATGTTCCTATTTCGTACTTACTTGGCTTCTTTTCTCAAAGAACAAATTTTAGGAAAAAATGTTTAAAAAGAAGAAACTTTGAGCCCAACGGGGATACCAAACCATGAAAAATTGCCGTGAAAAGGTTGTTCACCCTACCAACAAATGGGAATTTTCAGTTTCATAAATCACTCCTATTATCTTCTTTTTTTAAAAAAAAAAATTGTTAATGGCATGAATTTATCAAAAGTAAAGTCACTTTGTAGGACGGAAACAAAATAAAAACATCAATTACTTTTTGTTCTGGTACAAAGGAGGCATAAAATTTACTCCCTATGTCCAAAAAAATAGTCCACTTCGAATTAATAGTAACATGAAAATGTATAAGACATCAATTACATTAATCATAACTATCACTTTATTTGCAATGAGTTCAAGAATTATATTTTGGGAGAGCTTTATCTCTTCCGAAAGGCTTACTTAGCTCGTTTCAGATTAACCGGACAGTGATTTAAGACACTTACTACATATGCAATATGCTTAAAGAATAAAAATGAGCCCTGTGGATGTCTTCTTTTTTGGTGTGTGTGTACTGACTGCTCCTGTGACACTTGTAAATATTAATGTTGTAAAAAAAAAAAAAAAAAAAAGAAACCCTCAGTCAACATTAGCTTCTTATCACAGTTTCCGTGAAGTTTATCAGAGGAGGACTCAATATATGCGTGCGCGTAAGTTCCAATGAATTGCTGACTAGATATATCAACAGACAATAATAATAACATCATGTACAGGAATCAAACGCTTAAGTTCTTAACCCTTGGTCTTAAACTCCTAGTGGTAGTATTTAAAGGCTGTCATCCCATATTATAATTGCATTATTACACCTGAAAGTGAAGAAACCATGGATTTCCTCTCAATTCCCTTGCCTGGGAAGGCCACTCTATCCAGTTCGTCCACATCTTTCCGATCCTTTTCTGGAATTTCTCGGGTTATCACATCCGAAAAATGTAAAAACCTTAGTTTCACGATAGCTTGCCAAGCCAAAGATAACAATGAACAACAAAACGCATCAAGGAGAAATGTGCTGATTGGTTTAGGTGGGCTTTACGGTGCATCCGGCAGCCATTCGTTTGCAGCTCCAATTCAAGGCCCTGACGTTTCCAACTGCGGCCCTGCGGAAATACCCGTAGGGGTTCCACCAACCAACTGTTGCCCTCAGGTTCCGGCGAAAATCGTCGATTTCGAAGCTCCTTCGTTCTCAACGATTCGTGTCCGTCCGGCAGCTCATTTGGTTGATGGAAACTACATCGCAAAGTACAACAGGGCCGTACAGCTCATGAAAGCTTTGCCCGAAACGGATCCGAGGAGTTTCAAAAACCAGGCTAATGTTCATTGTGCTTATTGCGATGGCGCGTATGATCAAGCCGGGTTTCCGAACCGTGAACTTCAGGTCCATTTCTCCTGGCTATTCCTTCCATTTCACCGGTTCTATGTATACTTCTTTGAACGAATCTGTGGGAAGTTAATCGATGACCCGAATTTCGCCGTGCCGTTCTGGAACTATGACGTTCAAGATGGAATGGTTATGCCAGCGTTTTACGCTGACCCGAATTCCGCGCTTTACGACCCGCTCCGGGATGCGGCTCATCAGCCTCCAACAATGATGGACCTGGATTACGACGGTAAGGATTCGAACCTCTCTTACTGCAAGCAATTGTCACAGAATTTAACCATCATGTACAGGCAAATAGTTGCGAATGCAAAGACACCGCCACTGTTTTTCGGGGGAACTTATCGCGCGGGCGATGAACCTGACCCGGGAGCTGGATCCATCGAAAACATCCCTCATAACCCGATTCACATATGGACAGGAGACAGAACTCAGCCTTATCTTGAAGACATGGGAGCTTTCTATTCTACATCCAGGGATCCGATTTTCTACGCTCATCATTCCAACCTGGACCGATTATGGTCCATATGGAAAACATTGGGTGGAAAGAGACGGGATATCGCCGACCCGGATTGGCTAAACGCATCATTTCTCTTCTATGATGAGAATGCACAAATGGTTCGTGTCCGGGTTCGGGATTGTTTGGATACCACCAAACTCGGGTACAAGTACCAGGATACGGAGATTCCTTGGGTGAATTATCGTCCCAAGCCCCGAATTTCAAAGGCCACTAGGATGCTGATGAAAAAGAAACTCGGGTTTTTGAATCATGCGGCCGGAGATATATCACCATTGAAGCTTGACAAAACAGCAGTGAAAATCATGGTGAAAAGGCCTAGTAACAAGAAGCGGTCTAAGAAGGAGAAAGACGAGAAAGACGAGATCCTGGTGATTGAGAAGATTGTGGTGGAGAGGAGTGAGTTTGTGAAGTTTGATGTTTTTATCAATGACGAGGATGATCCCAAGAGTACCCCGGCAAACACCGAATATGCTGGGAGTTTTTGGAATGTGCCTCGTCCAAAGACTAATAATCATGATGATAACAGCGATCCTAAGAACAAGATTAAGACTAATTTGAAATTGGCGCTGACTGAGATTTTGGAAGACCTGGATGCTGAAGATGATGATGCTGTGGCGGTGACTTTGGTTCCAAAAGCTGGTAAAGCTACTATTGGTGGATTGAAGATCAAGATTGATGACGTCGAATACTAAAAACTCTCTGTTAATTATATGATTCATGTTTACCTTTACATATTAAGTTAATTAAGTATATGATGAGGAGATCGTATTAGCGAGGCAGCCGCAGCCCTAGGTGCTTAAATTTATAGCTGGTTGTATGCATGCATGTGTAATTCTGATAGCCAATTTCATACAGGGCAAAAAAAAAATTAATAATAATAAATAAATAAGAAAAAGAGGGGATGGAAAATTTTATAAAGCTAATTTGTTTGTAGGAATTTATATTCACAATATATTGTAAAAAGATTTTGATATTGATAATTTATGATGGCAAATGTAATCTCTTTTCTGTGATCAAGGACCCATGATCATTTCTGGTTGAATGAGGGATTTACTGCCAATGATCATTGCTGCAACTTGTTGGTGAAATGGAAAGATTCAAGGATAACATGGAGTGTACCAAGTTCAGAACCAAATAAGGAAGGTGTATTGGACCAGATGATGTGTATTTCACAGGGTTCTTCCACATTGAGAGACAGATTGGAAGACCAGCAATTTGATGACTTTCTCAAGAAATACATTCCGACATTCAAATTCCATTCCATTGATACTGATACTTTATGATAAAAAAAAAATAAACAAATAATTCTCTTATGCACGGTTTTAGTTGCCATTGGTAACGCTTATAAAGCTCCAAAGTAAATAGCTAAGCTATGGTCAATAGTCATGATAGGGAGTGAAATAATTATAAAGGTCAAACATGTATGTCCTCTGGTTATAGGATTGATATTGATGATAACAATAGGGAGTTTGTTGTCCAATGCAACGTGAAACCAGATCAGAGAGGAATTGACAAATATAGTCCCAACTCGCCAAAAGCATATGTGACATTTGCATATTTCAATGTGAAATTTGTAATCATATGATTAAGTAGTTTGAATAAACGCAATTAATTAGGATAAGCTTTTATTAGTATTGTAGCATAGATAAACTAGCATAATTTTTATGCTAACTAAGAATAAAATAAACAAAAAAGGGAAAGGAAAAATATTAATATTAATTTAATCAGTTTCTTTCTTTATTAATTATTTACATTTAAATAGGAAGGAACGGTAAATTATACTTGGTGGAAACATGTATTAATTTTATTATGTATTAACATTTTGTGTTTGGGGTAGATTTTGAACATCTTTTGTTTTTTATTTTCTTTCTTCTCTCCCGATTTAAATATTTTTTTTCAAAAAATATTATCTTCATCACATGTATATTCGAGTTGCAAAATTGAAAAGTCAATTTATCAAATTCGTAGGGCTACATTTATTTTTTGAATTTTTTTTCTATATTTTCTCCCAAT